CACAAGATGGTAGTAAGTCATAGTGTTAAAGACGTCTTTGAATTGATTACTAACTTGGATGGTATCAATGTAAATGGGAAGCAAATGCTTTCCTTAGATGTAGCATCACTGTTTACCAGTGTACCACTTATGGAGACTGTGGAATTCATATGCCAACAGATACCAGAAAAACAGATCGACATCGGAATACCGGTTAGTAGTCTGAAAGAGTTGCTTTTAAGATGTACTATGAATGTACATTTCATATTCAACAACCTTTACTACAGACAAATCGACGGTATTGCCATGGGTTCTCCGTTGGGGCCAATTTTAGCAGATTTCTTTCTTGCCAAGATTGAAAATGGTCCATTGAAAAAAGTAATGGAAAAAACTGATTCTTATTTTCGTTATGTTGATGATACGTTTATTATTCTTGATGTGAAAGCTGACAAGAATGAAATGTTAAAAATGTTTAATGATGCACATCCATCGCTCATCTTCACTTGTGAAGAAGAATATGATGGTGGACTACATTTCCTTGACGTCCAATTGAGTAGAAGAGAGGATGGTTCACTCAAGAGAGATGTCTATAGAAAACCTACATCTGTAGGACAATATACACATTTCCTCAGTTATGTACCAATCCGATACAAAATCAATTTGGTCAGATGCCTGACGAATAGAGCAAGACGCATCTGTACAGATGACTCCCTAGAGAATGAGCTAGGATACATCCAAAATACGTTAGTCAAATGGGTTATCCTAGTAGATTTGTCAGGAGACACATGAACACCAAGTACAATAAAGTAAAACCGACAACAGTTAAAAAGAAACAACTGTTCATGAAACTGCAATTTAATGGAGACGTGGCTAGTGAAGTCTTACGTCAGAGATTATCGAGAGCGATAAAACGGACTTATACTGCCGCCACCCTCTGTTTGTCATTTTCCAGCCGACCAATTCTGATTGCTCAAGTGAAAGATAAGCTACCTAGTTGTGCCACTTCCATGTGTATCTATAAATTTAGTTGCTCCTGTGGAGAAAGCTATATAGGCCTAACAACTAGACAGCTTAACAAACGCACTAATGAGCATCTTCCTTCATGGTTCGGAAAAGGTCAAATAAAATCCATACGAAATACTATTTTGGCTCATTTGATTGATAGTGGTCACCAAGTTGACAAAAATAGTGCCTTCAAAGTTATTTACCACATTCCATCGAGTCTTTCGAACGGAATCAGAACCCGTCTTTTACACTTAGCCCAAGAAGCTATGGGAATTAATTCGAGAGAACAATCCTAGTCTTTGTATACAAAAGAAATTTGTTCTACCTTTGTCTCTCCCTTGCTTAGCCTAGGTGAATTCTATTCAAAACCCTCCCACCCTTTCTTATCATCCACCTCCTTCGTACTTTTATGATATTTATTTAAACTCTGATTATCGTTCCATTTGATTTGACCTAATTTATTTATTTATTGAATTGTCTACATATATGCATATACTAACTTTGTCATTCTTATCACCTGTATAAGCCTTATTAACAATATTTTGTTATTATTATAATCATCGCTATTAACTTCCTTCAAAACATTTACCACATTATTATTACTATTATTATTATGATTATTATTATTTGATCCACAAAATCACCGTCATTGGTTAAAATTTTATATATATAAGTCTATGTAAATTAGAGTAAAGCCAGAAGAAGATCTAATTAAAAAAATATTGTTCGCTTATAAATCTTGTTCTAATACAGGATCTACTGATGCAGTTGTAAAGATGACAAATGGAGATTATAAATCAGCATGTAAAGTATAAAATGAAGATAGTCACAGTAGGAAGCAGAACACAAATACATCGCTCAGTTCGAATTTCACAACTTTTGTACCATTTCACTCCTGCCGAACGTAGACAGAGTAAAATTATGCTCACCGAATTCTCATCACTGTCTACAAATGTCGAACTCACAGTTTATCTAGATTTGAAATTCTTCACAAACAGTAAGATAACGCAAAATATATCCAATAGAAGGTCCTAAAATCATACATCCTGGTGAAAATCATAAGTCACTGTCACGCAACTTGAGAAGAGCTCCGATTGAACTGTTTATATGATTGAACAGCAAAAGCGGGTTTCCACTTCTTGTAATGATTCATTCATATAGGCGGATGAATAATATATCTGTGAGCAGAACATAGACATTGTTCAGCAAGGATGTGATATGGCACAGAAAGAAATAACTAATATAAACGTATCCCGTCATCACCAGCAACTAAGGAGATAAAGAGGGATATTTATTTGACCATAAGTACTTGCGTTCTGTCACCTGTGTTTAGTGACACAATATGCTTAGTGATACTAAGGTTACACGAAGAGTGTTGTTTTGAGCCAGTCACATAGGGCGGTATAGACTACTTGGCTGGTGACAGAGCGTGACCTAATGAACCATTGGATTGAGGCTTGTGACGACATGGCCTTAAATCGTTCTCAGCAGCAAAAATCTATTCACTCTTCATCTACTCCAAGAGCCATTCACTTCTGATTATTCTTTCTCCAACTATCCTTCCTCGCGTACATCTCCGTTCATTAGAGTTTCTTTGAATCGCTTTTTCTCCACTTACTCATTGTGTGCCCTCTGAAGTGGTCCGAATTCAACCGATGCACCGTTCTACGACATTCTACACTGGACATTCAGTCGATGTCAGTCAGTTCAATGACGGATTTGTGGTGAATAGAACTAACTAATATTAACCTGTCGATGGTACTGTCTACATAGATTGCTAAAGTAATTCAAGAGATATGTGATGACTGAATATTGGAGAGAAGCCAATTCGAATAGTATCGTCAAGTATCGCTATCTATTCAGTCATCAGAAATATACTTTCGAGTCACCGAGAATTTTAGCCTCCTTAGTGTATTTATGCCTTTTCATTGTACTTCATTCACTTATCTAGGGAGCATTGTCTCAACTACAGGCAGTTGGAACGAATGAGGATGTCAAATCGAGCGAGAATCGGGAAGGCGAGAAACACATTCGTCAACCTGAAACCAATCTGGAAGGAAATCTTTGTCACTCATCATCAACAACCAAATTCAGTCGGATTTTCAATACAAACGTCAAGTCAGTCAGTTCTTCTATACAGATCAGAAACTTGGCGGGCGGGCCACAAAGAATATTTCCAACAGCCTGTTGCAGACCAGACCTTCATCAACAACTGTCAACTATCGCTCTGTACTGAAGACCAGATGGCCGGGCCGGAAAGAATCACCAACAAGAAAGTATGGCTGGGAACAAGCGAAACAAGAACCAGTCGCTCGGCCAACAAATATGCAGGAGAATGTGGAGATGGATTGGACACTCGCTCGCTGCGGGGGCCGCTGGGTGACATCGTGCGCGAGTCTGGCCATTGCTCGAGTGGAACCAGGCCGAAATGTAAGCGGCGAGTGGGACGTCAGTGCAAGGGTGACATGGAGGAGATCGTGTGAAGAGGAGTTGAGAGAGTATGGACTAACTAACATCGATGCAGGTGAAAGGCACAGCAGAAGACAGAAGTGGCAAGTGGAGACGTGCAGTTGAAGCCCTATGTTCCACTAGGAACCCAATGAAACAATGATAACAAATATTAATAAAAATAATAATAATAATAATTGTAAACCACCACCCTATCAAAGGTTTAGTAATGATTTCCGGAATGCATTTATCCAATGAATTCCAACACATAAGAAGAAACGCGCGTGCCTCTTCTACATCAGCTTGCATCATAGACTCCCTTTCGAAGATATCTAAGCACACCATATAGTTCGTATTCACAGCGATTTCAAACCAATATGTGGAAGTATATATTCCTCACATACTTATTGATTACTTATTGAAGGCATATCAATGAAAAGACCTGAAATTGACATTTGTCATCAAATATAGATATAAAACTTGGCCACTGTGGTAGAGCATAACTCCATTATGGATAAGATTTTATTTTGAATTTTTAAATCACACAGTGTTGTACAGCAATATTAACTAATGGCGTTTCGAGGACAAACTATTGCTCGTAATTATATCAACTTACTCGCACAAACTTTTTCCTACATATATATACATGTGTGGAATCGATTCGATAGTGGAATAATAATAAATATGAGATAATGAATATTATGAAATAATAATTCGAGTGTTGTTGATCAATTACAATTAGATGGGAAATACGACGAGTGTTTTTATAGTCGTAATAAGTAGCTTGTTAGAATGTTGTGATGTGTTTGAATTGAAATAGAATTTTGAGATTATCTATTATCCTCTTCTGATTTGACCGACTGGCGGTAGTAATATCTTCCATATACCTGGTATTTGCATTGAGTCATTTCTATTGCGTCTGTTATGTTGGGTGTAGACTCGATGAACAAGGATTCAGTAATCAACCTCTCTCTCTCCACCTACCTAGATTACTTTTTAGAATTTTAACCCTCTCCCACCATGCTATTGTGTGGTTGTGTGTTAATGCGTGAAGTGTAATTGCTGAGCTTTTTTCTCAATTACTAAACTTTTCGGGGTCAACCATTCTTCCCTTAGCTAAATTCTTATGTTCCGATAATCTGACATAACATCTGATAATAAATAATCTTAAATTTCTATTTCAATTCAAACACATCACAACATTCTAACGAGTAACTTATTATGACTATAGAAACACTTGTCTTATTTCCCATCTGATTGTAATTGATCAACAACACTCGTATTATTATTTCTGAATGTACATTATCTCATATTGATTTTTATTCAAATATTTCATTGCACTCCGCCTGTCTTCCTGTCTGACCTGGCAACACAATTTTGAAATTAAAATATATTCAGATAATAATACTCCAACCTCAACCCCCCCCCCAAGCCACACCAATTTTCACTTAACTTCTCTTCTCTCCTTTCCGTCATTATGACTGTCATTATGCTGACCTTTACTGAACTCAAATCTGACCTTTCATATCTTGTTAGTTGTTTTCTTGATCAATATGTGGATGACCAATAAAAAAATGTGTTGCGCAGTCATTACACATCATAGCCAAATTACATAAGTAAATTACACTTTCAAATTGATTTGTTTACATTCCTGACGAGAATTAGTCACTTTTTAAAATTCACACTCCAGTGTCGCGTGACTGTAATATGCCAATATTAAGAGCTGGAATGTCCTCTAGCCTACCAAATCTCAACCATGATGGAGAATATCCAACGCCAGTACGTCAATAGATTTCACTTTGTTTCTTTATATATTGTCCATTTTATATTTCATGAATCACCGGTTATTGCAGTTTTCACAGTCTTTTTGTTTTGGCCAAGCGACTGGAAATTCGTGAGGTCACTTTAGTCTAAATAACGTGAACATTTCTTGTACCGAATCGACACACATTTCGCTGTTATAGAAGATGACTTGAATGAATCGAATATTGGTGTTTCACTAACCTCTATCTTCTACACCTTCCATTTAGGCGGCTCCTCCGAACTCACCATGGTCGTATTCGAGTATTCAGAAGAAGCTTCCCATTAAACGTTTTGCATTTGATGGCATCGCAAGGCGCATATCCTGGGACTCAGTAAGTCACTCTTTCTCATCTGTATTTTCATGAAGTGGGCATTTTTTCCGGAAGCTTTTAATTCACTGCCCCTCTCACTCTGTATACACTTGCATTTCAAAATAGTCTAGTGACTTTTCCATGAGTATTTTGTGTGATCTAAGGAGGTCTCAATCAACATTCGTTGATCGTTGATGAGACATTCTCTAATTTCACTTAGATTTAATGTATCACGGTGACTCTTCCTACTAAAGGAGACGTATTTTAGGAGGTCACCAGCAGTGTCAATACAATATGTTCAATTTTCACTCATCTGTGTGTTTTAACGAGCCAGACTAATACGATGATACCCCGTTCGGTGTATACTATCCACCAAGACGATTGCATATCTCTGACATGGATTGGAGTGGAGTGGAGTGGAGTAGAGGTAGTAGACCGGTTCCGTACAACTACCGGATCACCATAGATAGGTGACCTTCTCGTTGTTCTCTCCAGTATTTATGATTGTAAATATTTGCGAACATGACAAGTGGTGTGTCTCTTCTTTTGTTCGTGTTAACAGAGATATTTATCCATTGAATAGTGTTTGAGTTATCAGTAGGACACTTTTAACTCAGCGTGTATCCCACACTAATTTATTCCAATATGAGCTTTGTGTGTTTGTGTGAGCAGTGTGTATGCATTTTTATCAGGCCTGCATTGAAATCTCAATGAGAATGATGTCAACGGTGAGAATTGACTTGATTAATTTATGACGAGTCTGTGTGGCAGACAATCTGTATGGAAATACTACTCGGAACTCAGGAACACGAAGTATGAGTTGTCAAATCGTACGCTCACTTGTTCAGTGATTCACTACTACCATTACTACTATGATTCCTTATTCTTCCCAACATTCTGACATTCAATCATGCAATCGTTCGACTGAACGTTTGCACGAGTCACTTGGTCCACTTTCGAAATAACTGATATGGCACACTCATAGCGAAAATCATGCTCACGGAGAAAATCACCTCCAAATATTGTGGAAAATGTAGAAGATAATTCACTAATTAGTTAAATATTTGCCTTATTTATTGATCCCTTTACATATAAACATCAATTCAAGTATATAACTGTAGTATTTCTTTTGACATTTCATTATGTCACTCTGATGATAGTGTATGGAGGGCCCCGGTTGTAATCCAACACCCATACGTCGATGCTCATGTAAAGTAGAGACACCTGTGACGAGGAGTCTTCACGAACAACCAAATTCAGCTGAGAAGCAAAGAAAAGGACTGGAGAGCGTGAATGGTAATGTTCAGCGGAAAGATGATCATCCACTATCGGTAAGATAAAAATGATCACTTGTATTACTTGCCTTATTTCATGATTTTGAATCGTGTGAATGTGAATGTTCGAGGAATTTGAGATCGTTAGACAATTATTTGTAACTTCGTATGCCTTTCATCGCTTCCGCAGCTGAGTGATTGCTTTCTGAGTCGAGTCTTGGGTGATTGATTCCACGTCACTAGTACCGTCTCAGCTTTGCACTGGTTGGACAAAATCCTCCGGATACCTTCCTAACATTGACTAAACACACGAGATTATGACTACTCAGTGTCAGTGAGTCGGCCCTCCACAGTTGGTAGGTTGAATAGTCAGCCTGACTGATATGGGACATGAACACTGAATGCATTATTTATTCCGGATTCTGAATGACATTCAAATGTGACAGTGTGGCTTCGTAGACACTGGTGTTATGGTAATCGGTTTCGGAATTCACTGTTTGCAGAATAGTCGACTGACGATGACTGGTAGTCTGATTTCCGATATGTATACATTTATTACTGTTCACTCTGCCTCTTTCGATGTGAGAAGTGATCATATAATGTGAGTAAGAGTAAAATATTCTGTCCTCGATGAGAATGTATGTATGTTTGAGAATTTCTCTGGGAGGTAGGTGAGGAAACGACGAGTGAAATTTGTAATAACGAGTCGTCGTCAAAGCCTCTCACGGACAGTAGTTAATTAGTTACTGAAGGTGAGTTGACCATCAATCTGATATTTCCTATCACTGACTCTGCATGTCACATGCTGGTTTTGTGGTCTGGAGTAATTCTGGCGTAGGTAGGTGAGCATTAGTCCTTGCAATTATTTGATGTGCGAGTCGTGATTGTTCCCGATTAGACGAAACCTGCGTTTCTCCTTCGTAAGTTAAGTTCTCCTCCATATCAGCAACACGCCTACAGTAATTCTAACTAATTCTTCCACTTTACAACATTTGTTTTTCTCTCTCTCTCTGTGTCTTTTTAGTTACCTGAAGATCTGAAGCAGCACAACCGAGAGCGTCTAAAAGAGTGTTAATGCTCAAAATCAAAGGTGGATTAGTGGAATAAATGGGAACACATAGTGAGGTGACATTTCTCCTGCGAGTTCTTATTTGCTTATCTGTCTATGTGTGCATTTATCTATCGAATTAACTATCCACCCACATGCTTTTGTAATTCATTCATCAATGTTCCTTTTCGTCTTTTCAAATAAATGCTGTAACTTTTCGTTCAGAATACATACTTATATAAATAAATGCATGGGAATTGAGTATTCTTGCCTTCTACCTACCCTACTTCTCTGGACTCCGACAGAGTGAAGGAACTGACTCCAAGTGAGTTGATTCAAGTGTTATCGGCGTGTGTTTGCACGGAATAATGTTTGTCGATCTCAGTCCGTCACATAGAATTCGATGAATGTGTAGGTGTCTTATAAGATCCGCGATTCGCTTCACAGATATGTGTTTCACACGATTCGGCTGATTCATTTCCGGCTTCATGAATTAGATGATTTGGGTGAGTCATGAGTATGAAATAGTCTCTCTCACCGACACACTTAATTGTTTCATATGAAATTCGGTCATTTTCGTTGGGGCTAATTGGAGAATATGTAATCTGTTCACTTTGATAGTGGTGTTTATGTTTTTCTTGAGTATAACAGCCCAGTGTAATGCATTTTTTGAAGAGTTCTACGTTGGTGAGTCAGATAGTTAGGGGAATGAATTCAGTGTGGTGAAAGTTGATAGAGTAGGTGGGACAGAAGCTTGTGAGTTGCAGAGATGGAGTGGAAGTCAATGAATATGGAAGCGTGAAATTGGATTTTAGTCAAATCTCTCTCCTTCCTCTCTTTGAGAATATGCTGTCTTGAAGAAACTATCTGTGCACCGTTAAACATGCATCCAATTCATGATGCATTTGACGTGTTGTTTCTCGACTTGCATGTGAATACATGGTCAGTCATAGTATTTCCTCTGACTACTCATCTCTTCACACACACAAACACAAACACACACAGAAACACATACGAGTAGCTATTTTAGTTGTATTCGTTTTAAACACAGTTTTCGTAGACATATTTATAAGCAATGTAACAAGTGCTCAATTGTAATGAATTTTTTCAAATGATGAATTATGTCGACGGTGAGTCGAGTATCATTCTAATGTTGTGCGTATCGAACAAAAGTTGACATCGTACACAAAAGTATACGTCTTCACCATCCAAACTGTTTCTTGTGTTGTATTGTTTATATTTGTTTCCCTGATAGCCATATCACGACGTTTACATTGAGTCAGTTATGTGGTGATTCGATTTTAACATGTTGAGGAGGTCTGTCAACTAGTGCTTTTAATGTGCAATGCACTGGGAATTCCTAATTTTGTGGATGAGTCATATAACCTTTCGGTACCTCTGTCATTTGTTGATAGCCCTCGTAACCTTGGGAAGTTTCAGAAGTTTCACTGGAGAGACTAGCAGTCATCGCATTATACTTGGTAAATTATGCAGCTTTCGTTCAACACATATCTCTTAATGGACTAGAAGAAAACAAGGACAATTAATCGTTCACGATGACGCAGCGTCATCAATTTTTGTTATTTTTTACTAACTATGTACAACATAGAATTATCATAGTGTCAATATACGAGATATTCATATTTTAGAGGCTGAAGTTATTGACGTTCGCGGATTGTACGGAGTATACTAATGCAAGATGTAATACCAACAACTCCTATAGTATTCGTTCCTCATGGACCAAAGCCAAAGCAAAATACACTATTTGATCGTCCAAATTACGAGATATATTTCGGGACCAAACTGTAACCGAGATGAATGGTTAGCTGGCTAGTGATCGTGCACTAACGTGACACGACGGAGTACCGAATGGCGTGAATGCTTGGCCGGAAACCTTCCGCTAAACAAGTCGACGTAAACAGTGAGGGTCAGCATTCAATCTTCAGTGGTGATTGGTGTGGTCAATAATTTTGGGGAATTATTTACGGCTATAGCTCAATCCCCCCTAGTGGGGTTGTGAGGATCCTAGGACAGAACCCGTCGGAAGTAAAAAACTCGACGGTTCCCCATCGGTAAAAAACTCTTCCGAACGGCTTGGTGGAGTGCCTACTCATCGTCTATCTATGCTAATAGGGCGTCTGTACATCGATTCGTTGATGTTGGTTCGTTGGATCTCATGCTTCGTTTGCTTCTTGTTCAGCGCCCGTCGCACCTGGGAAAGAAAAGAATAATGCTAATAACCTTGTTGGGGAAGATGTGACAAAAATAACGTTCGAAAAATGATATGCATCTACCATAGAGTAAAATAATGTGAAAATTAGAGCATCGAAAATAATTATACATCTAATTTTTTTAGTGCCTGCAACATTTACGGTTATAGAAAATTTTTTACTGGTGTTACGGGATGCAATATAAAAAATTTGATGTGTTTGAAAAAAGCTAATAACTACCACAAACAAATAAGAGTTGGGTGAATCGAATCATTTAGTTGTGTAATATACATGTGTGAAGATATTCTGGGAATCTCACGTTTCGTCCAGAACGCGTTTTCCTTGAGGGCTCCACAGATGGTTCGGTGGCTTTCGTCGTGGTAGTGATTTCTTTGGGGACTAGAGGATATTCGGTTGCTTGTGAATTATTGGAAACGCCCAGCTCTAGACTAACAGGATTGCCTTTCTAATTAGGCCGGTTTCAGACGGTCGATACTGACGGTTTTCAAACACGAGTGAACAAAGACATCAATGGAATGTGGTCGAAGGAGAGCAGGTTTACCTGAACGCATTACGTTTGTAAGCCTGCTGACGTATGAGGCGTGATCTACCGTTGATGGGAAGCTCAAGGGAGAAACAAACTCACTTGGCATTCGTAGTGTTGTGTCATACACTAGCTCGGCGCTAGTACAACAAGCATCAGTTTTCAAGCGATTTGTATCCCTAGGAGAACTAACGGAATTCCGTTAACGGGATTCAGAACTAATTAGTTATGAATCACTTAAGTGATTCAGTTCAATAGGTAATGTTTGCAGCTGATAAACCAGCTTTCAACCGTCTGTGTAGACATTCTACCATACCATTAGCTTGAGGATGGTAGGCTGTTTTTATAAAACTCATACAACCTATGATTTTAGTCGGGGCGAAAAATAAGCCGCTTTCGAATTGCCGCCCGCGACCAGTTGTTATGGAGGATGAGCATCCAAAGTTTCCAATATCCAATATCGTTTTTACGAGCTAGTATAAACCAATTCGACTTCTTTGTGCTCGCTTCTTGATTGTAAGGTATAGGCTCCTGATCTTCGGTAAACTTCTGCGTAGCTTGTCCCGCCACTCGACTGTCGTAGCTTTGGTTGACTCCAAAGGGAGTAGTGCTGGGATTAATTATATGTGGTTTGTAGTATGTTACTACAGTGAATGGAGTTGATCCTTTCGCCAGTTTGTCCTCCGGTATCGTCGACAAGGGAAGAGATAATAACAATAGATATAATTAGTGAAGTTATTCAGACTGATAGACAGAAACGGAAATAGGAAAGCGTAAAAACAGTCAGCTGATTAAGTCTGAAGAATAATATATATATATATATATATATATCGGTAATGACAATAATAATAATAGTAATATTAATTATAATATTAACAAGTTGTCAGGAGAGTAGGACTGGAGAGAGTGTAAAGAAGTAAAGCGACGAGTTTAATTGTCTACCCATGAATGGTGTATGCGATTTTAAGGAGACAGGCCATTTGGATGCAGTCCTTGTGTCACTGCATGGTTGTCCAGCCTTCGCTTAAAGTCGTCCAAAGACGGTGCCATAGCTACATCTGCTGGTAAGGAATTCCAGGGACGGCAAACCCTCAGTGAAGAAAAGTGGGAGCGCACCCGGGTCCTTGCCCTCTGGTGAGCTATCCTTCTGGGATTTCCACGTGGGAGCCTATACCTACTCAATAGCAGAACATCTTTGTTTGGGTGATTCTGGTCATTTGTTATTTTGTAGGCAGTAATCAAATACCCCCTAAGCCGACATTAGCTAAGTGTGAACAGGCCTAATTTCCTCAGCCATTCGCCATGTGGTTTGTTTCGGAGACCAACCAC